CGCCGCACGCCGCAGCTCCACTCCTCGCCTCCAGTCGTCCTCCAGCCGGGCCGCCGTTGACCAGCCTGCCGCGGGGCGCCGCGCGCGCGGCAGCGCCCCGCGGGTTACCCAGGCCGCCGGCGGCAGCGCAGCCGCTGGCAGCGGCTCCGCCCCGTCGCCACGAGGCCTGCAGGTCGAAGCGTCCACCTTTCCCGGCGCTGCGGCGCCCTGCACCGCAGCCCCTGGGCCACAGCCCCGCGGGCGCGGACCCTCCAACGGGGGGCCCGCGCGGGCAGGAGAGGGCGTCGCGGGCCTGCTCCCGCGGCGCATTCAGGTCGCGGGTGCTCCAGGAGTCTCCTAGGGGCCGCTCGAGCCCGGGGGCCAGCCCCCGCGGACGCCCCCGCGGCTGAGCCGAGGGAGGTCGCGGGGGCGGGCTGCTATGACGAGCGTGGCGCGGAGCTTACTTAAACGTAAATATATACTCCGCATGCTAAACCCTGTTGTGTTTATTGTACGTTGTAGCGAGGAAACGTGGGACTCATTGGGACGTTGGTCTAGTGGTATGATTCTCGCTTAGGGTGCGAGAGGTCGTGGGTTCGATTCCCACACGTCCCCTCATACGTTTTGATGATTTTGCAGCGGCGCGACGACGGCAACAGCACTTGTGGCTCCTGATAATAATCCCTGGACTTGCTGCCCGCCAAATCAATCCAAAACAAGAATCAATAACGACTTTGTGCACGACTTGCCGTGCAGCTCAAAAGGTCAAAAGCGTGGTGGGGACAGCCGGGAATCGAACCCGGGACCTCTCGCACCCGAAGCGAGAATCATACCACTAGACCACTATCCCGATTCATGCCAGCTAACCAACTACCAAAAGTCATAAAGGTATCCGGGTTTTTGGAAATTTTTCAATCGCTCAAATTGGGCCCCGGAGGGTGGGGAATACTGCGCAAACGAATGTATAAGGGTTTTAAGGTACGGAGCTTCCATCCAGGAACGGCACGGGTGGAGTTGACCGCCTGCCACGCCCACCCGGGTCGACTCTCGTTTCCCTCGACCCTGGTGGGTAAAGGATCCCCCTGCACGAGGGCTGACGACAAGTTCGGTTGGGCTGCTGGGGTTTGCTGGAGGCTGCACCGCACCACCCTCTGGCCAGCCAGCAACAGGAATTTTACTCACACAAGAAGCGCCGCCATCGCACAACTCGCGCACGCCCGCGGCGCGGGCGCGTCGGCGCCTCTTCATTCAGACGGCCCGCAACCAACAGGCGCGCGCGGCGCGCGGCGGCGGCCGCGTATCCAATCCCGGCGGCTCAAGGGCGCTGCCGATGTTGGGAGGTTGACAAGTGCTGGGCGTGCGTCCACGACGGCAGGCAGCGGCGGCGCCGCGCGGCGCGAGGGCGCGCGCCCCGGAGGCGAGCGCGGCTCGCGCGGGCGTTCTGGGGGGCGTTGGGGCCCCGCCGACGCACCGCGCGCGCCCGCGCCACGCACCGCAAAGGGGCGTGCGCCCGCGCGCACACGCGGGCGCCCCGTGCGGTCGAACGCACTTTCAAGGGGGCGGAATACTTGCAAGCAGGTGTTGTTTGCGAGGGGGCAGGGAGCTCTGGGGCAGCCCGATGGGGATTTGGCCTTTGTGGCAAAGGGAGGGCCCTTTTGGGGGGCCGCCAACACTGCCGGTCGCCTGCACAATGCGCACGCGCGCGGGGAACGCCGCCCCGCACGCCGAGCGAACACATCACCAATGAGCAAGCGGCAAAGACGGGGCACAGATCCAAGGGGCTGCACGGGGGCGCTGGCGCGTTGGGTGCCATAGGGTGGGGTGGCAGTAGGTTTTAGAGCCGTGCAAACAAAGGGGCCCGCTCGCGCCCATGAGCGCGCGCGTGGGCAGGCGCAACCGGCCGGGCGCCGCTCCCGCCCACGCGGCATGCGCACGGGCCGATCGGCAGGGGAGGGGGCACAGGGAAGCGCTTGTGAGGCGGCGCGCGGCCGCTGCCAGCGGGGCGGCGGCGGCTGCGGGGCGCATGCCGGGGGGGCCAGGCGCAGCCTTTGCACCACAGCGCGGCCGAGCAAACGGCCGGCCGGGGCGCAGGAAGGCGCTCGATCAACCCCCAGGCTGACGCGCCGCAGCCGCCGCGGGCGCCGCGGCCAGCGGCCCGGCCGCCGGTCGCCTGTGCGGCCCGCCTCACTGCGCGGCGCCGCCGCCCTGCTCCATGGTGCTGTCGCCGGCGGTGGTGTTCATCTGCAGCGTCTGCAGGTGGCTCGCGCCCTGCGCGCCCTGCGTGCCCAGGCCGATGAGCGCGCCCTGCAGCACGCCCGCCGCCGCGACGGCGGCGGCCGCCGCCGCGGCGGTGGTGGGCTGGTCGGGGTTCTGCTCGTCGGCCGGGCAGAGCAGCGGCGCGGCCACGGACAGGCCGTTGAGGCCGCCCATATCCGGCATGTTGGCGATCTGGGGGGGGGGGGTGGGGGGTTTGGAGGGGGTGTACTGAGCTGCAAGCGTGTGTTGTGTGTGTCCTCAGGGGGGGGGGGTGGTGGCAGGCGATGAGTGCAGCAACCTGGGGCGACGGGCAACGGTGCCTCGCAGGCAAGGCGCAGTCCGAGCAACAGGGCGCGCCGAAAGAAAACGGGCCCTTCCCTTCCCCCACCCACCCCCAGCCACCCCACCCCGCGCCCGCACCTTGTCCGGCAGCGCCTCCCCCTTGTCCGCCATGTCGGCGATCACCGCCGACGCCACCGCCAGCGCGTCCGGCACCGCCGGGTACGCCTGCACCAGCAGCGACGCCATCTGGAAGTGGTTGAGCACGCCCTTGAACACGGCGGCGCAGAACTCGATGGTCACGTTGTGCTCCGCCTTCAGGTTCTCGCGCAGCTTGGCCACGGCCTCGTGGGTCTTGATGTAGGTGATGGCGTTGCGAGTGTGGAAGGACTCCTGGGGGGGGAGGGGGTTGGGGGGGAGGGGGCGCGTTTGGGAGGGGGGTGGGGGGTTGTGGGGAAGGGGGCACGTGTTTGGGAGGGGGTTGAGGGCGAGGGTGTGCAAGTGTGGGAAGAGGCGGGGGGGTTGCACGTTTGAAAGGGGTGTTGGCGTGCTTTTGAACGGCTTCAAGCTTTGAGGGAAGAAGGGCGCTTTTCACGAACAGGCCCCGCGCACTGCATGCTTTGCCGCGCACGGCGGCGCGCACACAAACGCCCGCAACCAAGCGCGCCAAAACACCCCCCCCCCCCAAAAAATAAAGACCCAGCGCCCCCACCTGCGGCAGGTGCGCCTGGATCTGGATGTTGAGCTTCTTGCGCTCCTCCACTATGGGCTCCACCTTTTGCATGAACATCTGCTTCCACGACACCACGTCGTGCTTCTGCTTCTCGCTGAGGTTGATGGAGTTGACCACGTTCTTCCACATGTCAATGGCCTCGGCCTTTGGGGGGGTTGGGGGTTGTTTGAGGGGGTTCGGGGTTGTTTGGGGGGGTGTTTGAGGAGGGTGTCTTCGGGGGTTGTTGCCGGGTGCGTGGTGCTGCGGCGCCCAACGGCTGCAGGCCCAAGCCCGCCATCTGCCCCTTGCAGAACACATATGCGCGCGCACACGCGCACACACAAGCGCGCGCGCACACAAAATGCGCGCACACAAGCGCGCGCGCGCGCACCTCTGTCTTGAGGTACTGGCGGCTGACTGCGATGAATTTGCGCGTCTCAATGGGGCGCACCACGCTGAGGCGCATCAGCAGGTAGGACACCTCCTTGGTCAGCGTCTCAACCTGGGGGGGGGGGAACAGAGTGGGGTGTGTGAGGGGTGGGGTGAGCGAGGGGCGGGGCTATCGCGCGTTTGTGGGCTCGTGAAGAGCTCCACACATTGAAAGGGGTGTGGCTGTGTGTGCAGGGGGGCGGAAGGGCGCGCGCCCGTGCAGGAAGCCAACGGCAGCTGCCCGCGCCGCGCGGCGGCATGCCCGTGCAAAGGCCCCCGCCCCCAGCGCTGCACGCCGCCTTGCACGCCCCCGCCCCAGACGCACACGCCCCCCACCCCCGCCCCCCGCGCCTGCTGCGTCGTCGTGGCCGAGGGCGGGCCCCCCTGGTTGAGCTCCACCAGGCGCGCCGACAGCTCCTTGATGTAGGTCTGGTACAGCTTGTAGATCTGCTCCGGGGTCAGCGCCTTGAGCTGCTCGCTGGTCAGCTGGATGTCCTGGCCGGCGACGGCGGACAGCGTCAGCGGGGGCGCGTCGCCGGCGTCGTCGTGCTGCGCGCGTCTGAGGCGGGGGGGGGGGGTTGGGGGGGTGGGGGGGGGGGTGGGGGGATTGGGGGGTTGGGGGTTGGGGAGGAGGGAGGGTGGGGCTTGGTTGGAGCAGAGCGCCCCGCCGCAATCACGGATCGAGGAGCGCGGGACGTGCTGCAGGGAGATCGGCCAAAGCGCGCAGCACGCAGCGCGCGGCGCGCCCAGGCGCTTGCGCCGCGCCGTTCCGTGCCCAACGCCCCGCCGCGCACCTGGATCTGCTCGTTGCGCATGTCCAGCACCTTCTCCAGGATGCTGGTGCGGCTGTGGAGGGCGGCGTTCTCCGTCTGGAGGGAGCCCACCTGCGCGCGGCGGTGGACAGGGGGGGCGGGGTGGGGGAGGGGGGTTGGGGGAGGGCGCCTCCGACGCGCTGCGCTGCCCCTTGGGGCTGGGGGCATGGCCCACAAGCTCTGCCCTCGCAGCGCATGCGCACTGCCACGCAACGGGCCACAGCAGCGCGCCTGCAGCGGGCGGCCGCCAACGCCGCCAGCTGCTGCTGCGTGGCAGGCCCCCCCCTCGCCAGCACCCCTCAAAGCCCGCCCCCCCAAAGCCCCACCTTTGTGGTGAGCTCCTCGATCTGGCGGTGCAGCTCGGCGATCTTGGCCTTCTGGCGCTCGCGGAAGCGCCGCTGCGCGCGGCGGTTCTTCTCCTGCAGCGCCAGGTGGCGGCGCTCCGCGACGGAGAGGTTGGGGTTGTCCGCGCCGCCGCCGCTGCTGGCCTCGCGCTTCTGGCGGCGGTTGCGGGGCTGGCCGCCGTCGCTGCTCGCGCTGCCGTCGCTGCTGCCGCCGTCGCTGTCCTCCTCCTCCTCCTCGCGGGCGCGCGTGGCCGCGGCCTTGCGGCCGGCGCCGCGGCCGCGCCCGCCGCCGCGCCCGCCGCGCGCCGAGCCGCGCCCGCCCGCGGCCGTCGCCGTGCCGGCGCCGCCGGCGGTCGCGCCGCTCGTGCTGGGGCCCGTGCTGGGCGTGGCCGCCGGCAGCGGCGCCGCCGCGGGCGCGGACGACATGGGCGGCGCGCCCGGCATCGCAAGGCCCATGCCGGCAGACGCGGCCGCCGCGGCCGAGCTGGCGCCCGCCGCGCTGAGCCCGCCGCCGAGGCCCATGCCCTGCAGCCCGGCGAGGCCGGCGCCCATGCCGGCAAAGGCGCCCATGCCGCCGTGCCCCAGGCCCCCGCCGCCCATGCCGCCGTACGCGCCGAGGCCCGCAAGGCCGGCCATGCCGCCCGCGCCTCCGCCCATGCTGCCCAGCCCGCCGGCCGCGGTGAAGCCCTCGAGCCCCGCGCCCATGCTGCTCATGAGGTTGCGCGCCAGCACGGGGTTTGTCTGCTGCATGGCCTGGCCCATGCCCTGCGCCATGCCCTGCAGGCCCGACATGCCCTGCATGCCCATGCCGCCCAGCTGGCCCTGCATGCCCGCCAGGCCGGCGAGGGGCTGCATGCCGCCCATGCCGCCCATCATGCCCAGCCCGCCGGCGCCCATGCCCATGCCCATGCCGCCCAGGCCGGCGAGCGGGTCGCCCATGCCGCCCAGGCCGGCCATGCCGCCGCCGGCGCCGCCCATGCCGGTCTGCAGCTGCACCAGGTAGTTGTCAAGGACCTGC